CCCCCCCCCCCCCCCCGCAAAAGCTATGCTTAACATTCACCTGGAAAGATGCGTTTGATAAAGGGTCGCTGTTTGGAGGATCTGTTAAACTTTGTAAGTACTTATTTCACGGTTTCCCTAGAACAATATCTTATTCTAAAAAAAACCCAAGCTGAAATTTTCTTCTCTGCCACTTAATTGTTTTGTTTACTGTTTTATTCAATCAGTCACCTCTTTTCCTCCTCTTCCTCTATCCCCTTGTTTTTCGAAAATTCTCACTATCTTTGCCTATGTATCTTGCTATCTCCTGTTTTGCTGTTTCCTGCTGATAGGCTTCAATTTCATTGCTCCAAAAGCCCCAGAAATTATCTCTGTTTACTTTTAATATTTCCCCTTCCCCCTCCCTATTTTGGCTTCTGTAGAGAAGCACTTGACCTGCAGTTGTTTAAATAATCTTTTGTTCCCTACTCACAATGACATTTTGTATTATTTTGGGACACAAAACTCTGATTAGGTGACTGCTTGAAAGAATGCCATTGCAGTTGTTCGGTCTGCAAATGTGACTCCATGCTTCAGATTGCCTTGCACTTGAATGCACCTCCAACTTCCAGTTTGAGCTTCCTGTCCTTGCCTTCCTACACTGTTGCAAAAAAGCTTAACCTAAGCCTGAGGAATATTACCTCTATTTTTTTTTAAATAAGCGCTTTGCAGGCTTCCAGAGATTGAATGTTGAATTCAGCGATTTGGGATCAACATGATGATCCCTTTTGTTTTGGAAAATGTCTGTCGAGAATTCTGCAATCCTGATTTATACGTAATTTGAGGCCATCTTTTAATTCTTGCTCCACTGCCATGTGATTTTTCACTTGCGCTTTCATTCCCTTTGTCATTTAATTTCTCTGCTTTCCATTGTGTTGAAAACCTTTGTTTGTCCACCCCTCCTTCAGTGCATCTTTACTTGTTTGTAGCCTGTTATAGATCTAATTTTATCCAGTTCTGAAATGTTGACAAAGTTACTTTCTCCTTAGATGCCTTCTGACTTGTTTATTTCCCATATTTTCTGTTCTGTCTTTGGATTTCCAGTTTATGCAGAGTTTTGTTTCTGTATAAATGAGCCATAAGCTGTATGAATTACTGGTAACTAATATCAGCAGCACCGAAAATGTGATTTGACAAGTTGTGGAGTCTGTTTTCGTCAGATTTTAGTTACCTGTGTAGAATTTAAAAGATAAAATGTTGAATTTTGTTCTTTTTACTTTATCTCTTTTTCTAAATTCTATCTTTATTTCCCTTCACTTCATGTTTTGTACCTTTATTTGACATTGTCTTAACTATTCCTAGGATAACTACTTAAACTTAGTGCTTTCAATAGATCAAAGCATCCTTGGCTTTTCATAGTGTTAGAGAATAAAAAGGAAAGAGATGGACAATCATCATTCGAGTGACCTAAAATCTCTTTGACTTCACTTTTTTAAGAAGAGAATTCAAGACTGGGAATGGGAATGTTGTTCCAAATCAAGATAGTGTGCATTTTGTAGTGGAACCTATGGTTGGTCATGTTCCCATGCTTCTCTTGCTCTTGTTCTTGGATATGGTAGAGATTTTGGGTTTAGAAGATGCTGTTGAAGGAGTGTCCATGAGCTGCTGCCATACATGAATGGTACACATTGCTGCTTCTGTGCACCCATGGTGGAGGGAATGTTGATTAATGTCATATTCAGGGTTCAAATCAAGCAGGCTGCTTTATGGTTAATGGAGATGAGCTACTTGACTGCTCGTGGATTTGAATCTCCAGACAAGTGGTGAGAATTCCATCTCATTTCCTACATGTAGAATTTGGACAAACTTTGGGTCAGCAGGAGGCTCTTCGTTGCCTATGAGCTGCTTTTGTAGTATCTGTAATTTTGGGGGTAGTCCAGTTTAGTTCTGATTGTTGGTAACCCTTAGAATGCTATTAGTGCAGGATTCAGCAATTGCAATGGCATTGATTATCAAGGATGTGGTTAAATTCTGTCTTTTCATTGCTGGGGTCTAATATAAATGCTAAATGAGACCTGATATTAAAATACTGTACATAAAGTACAACCAAATGAATGAGTCACTTCAGTGCAACAATTTTCAGCTATTCTTCATTACATGCAGAATTCTTCTGAGAACAAAATATCAAAATCGGACAGAGGTTCATCTGCACATCCATCAAGTCCACTGCGTCTGCTACCAAGATGGGGAGTTCCACTCCCGAACATCCTAAATGCCCTCTTATTTCAAGGACCGCAACTTCACCACCGCGCACCCCCCCCCCCCCCCCCAGCTTCGGTGGTCAAAAATGCACTTGACCACATCTCTTGCGTTTCTTACAGTCTCTTTGTGTGAGATAACACATGTCCATTGTGCACATTTGTGGCCAGTCTGTGGAGATGATGCACCATGTGGGAAATAGGGGCTATATTTTTCAGGTGAGAGGAGAAAGATTTAAAAAAGACGTGAGGAGTAATTTTATTTTTAGATAGTATGTGGAATGAACTGCCAGAGGAAGTGGTGGATGCAGGTTCATTTATGACTTTTAAAAGACATTTGAATAAGTATAAGAATAGGAAAGGTTGGAGAGACATGGGCTAAACACAGCCAAGCAGGACTAGTTTGATTTGGGAAAACGGTTGATGTGGACTATTTAACCGAAGGGTCTGTTTCCATGCTGTATGACTCTGACTCTTTACTGAATGATTTGATTGACAAATACAGTTGTCTGTTCTGTAGCTAGGATACAGTCAAGAATTTCTTCATTCACTTCAAGAATAGCCAATTATGATTGTGTCACAAAGGCAATGAAGTACCATAGGCATAAAGCAGGCCTTTGTCCAGAAGGCTAATTGCTCTTGCATTTTCAACGTAAAGGTTAGTAATTACCCAAATAGTTTTTCTTTATTCTTGTATAGGATGTGGACATCACTGGCAAGGCTGGCATTTTCTCCCCATCCTTAATTGCCTTTGAACTGAGTGGTTTACTGTGGTTTTTCAGAGGGCAATTAAGAATCAACCACGCTTCTGTAGACCAGGGCAGGTAGGGGCAGTAGAGTTCCTTCGCTAAAGGACATCAGTAAACTAGGTGGGTTTTTATGACAATTTGACAATGGTTAGGTCATTGCTATTTGATCAGCCATTTAATTCTTGATTTTATTGAATTCAAATTTCCTAGTTGCTACAGTAGGATTCAAACCCATGTCCCTAGAATGTTAGCCTGGGGTTCTGAATTACCACTACACTGCCACCGCCACCGTCCCCAAACTAGTTGGTCTGTATTTGGGAAAACCTTTCTCTGCAAATCTGGTGTGTTGCCAAATTTGCTAACACAATTTCTTAGACAATTGAAGTCAAAATTATTGCCCATATGTTTAGTATGAATATTTTGTGCTTTACTGAAATCCTTGTGTCACCACTGGGTTGGAACATTCCTTTACTTATTCTTAAGTGAACAGTTACATTTAAGACATTGTATTTGGTACAAAAAGATTTGACAGATGAAACGGAAATTAGTTCCTTGTAAAATTTGTTATCAGAATCTATAATATCCAAAAACTATTCGTGTTTAAGGAATTGTAGCTATTGTACTGTTCTTATTTCTTGTATTTGATTGCAGCCTTTGCGAGTTTGGGATTTGAAAAGACCTGTGTTTTGTTCAATATTGGAGCTCTTGCCAGCCAAATTGCATCAGAACAGAATCTTGAAAATGATGAAGGGTTGAAAGCAGCAGCTAAGTATTACCAGGTATGCAGACGTTATTGTTGCAGTCTCATCGCTTTTATTTGTGACTTTTTTTTTGTTTCTAGCCTTACTGTCTCATCACCAGTCTTCGTCACAAGTTTCCTCCTTGTCTTCAGGCTCTGTATTGAGCGATTCCTCACCCTTGATAATTTTGATTTAGAATTAGTTGGTCATCTCCACCTTTTTAAATGCCTTTGTACCTTTTACTGTCACCTGGTTATGCTTTTGGGGTTCCCTTAATTTCAATACCTGGACTTGAGGGAGTGTAACCTTAGAATTCTGGAACAAACACAAAATGCTGGAAAATGACAGCAGGTTCAGCAGTATCTTTGGAGAGAGAAACAGAATTCATGTTTCAAGTCTGTGAATGACTTCTTTGCTCTGAGCCAGAGTGGAATTGAGACATTAACTGTTTTTCTCTCCCACAGATGCTGCCAGACCTGCTGTGTTTCTTCAGCATTTTCAATGTTTGTTTCAGATTTCAAGCATCGACAATATTTTGCTTTTCTTAGAATCCTGCAATCTTGCAGGACAAGAGGTGTCAATTTAGGTCATTGTGCCTGTGGAAGGAGCTATCCAGTTTGACCCACTTAGACCTGCAGTTTCTCTTATTGTATGATTATTCAGTTCACTTTTGAAAGTTGCTGTTGAATCTGCTTCCTTCACCCTGACGCAGTTTTGGATAATTGAAGTTACTACTATCAATGTCCTTTTTTTGTTTTGCATCTTTCTGAACTTTGCTTACAGATTTGCTTCTCTACGTCTTTCTCATTTCCTATTGGCTTGCAGTGTATAATTTCTCTTTTCCTTTAGTCTACCCAAATAACTTCAGTCTTTGAATCGTCGAGCACAAACCTTTCCAGGGATGTTACTATATTTGGTCAATGCTGTCACCACCCTACTCCCTTAATCCTTTCTATACTTTTAAAAAGCATTTTCCTGAACACTTGTCAGGAATATCAAGGTTCAAATCCTCCACTTGTTTGAACCAGACATCATCTGTTTTGGTATCATTTCATAATCCCATGAGGCATCTTGAACCTGAAACACTGCAACCGTACTAGCAATGCACTGCATTTGTGCATGACAAACCTACCTGAAAATACCTTGTATTTCTTTCCAAAACAGCAAAGGACCATGGATGATGGAAATCTGAAATAAAAACAAAGTATTAGAAGTACTCAGCAGGTCAGGATCTTGTACTCGACTCAATTTTTCTGTCATGATATAGATCAACTTCTCCACATTGGTGGGAAGAATAGAGAACTGACCTACTATTTAATTGGGGAATGTGTGCAGAACTTGATGGTACAGAAGGATCTGGGTACCATGGTATATGAATTGCAAGAAGTTTACATCCGGATATGGCAAATTATTAGGAAGGCAGATGTAATGTTGGTGTTTATTGCAAAGTGAAACAAGTAGAGCAATGAAGCAGTGAAGTGTTGATGCAGTACGTAGGCTTTGTTAGATCACATTTGAAGTAGATTTCTGGAGTGAATGGGATATCTTGTAAGGACAGGTTGGGCTTGTGGCCCTTGGAGGTTAGAAGAATGAGAGTTGATCTTTTTGAAATCTATAAGATTATGACAGGATGGATGCTGAGTAGATGTTTCTTCTTGTAGGGCAAATCTAAAACTAGGAGTCATAATGTAAAAATTAGGCATAAGTCTTTTACAAAACATGACATGCTTCTTAAAGCTCTGGTTTAGTAAATTTAAAATTTCCATGGTGTTATATTTCTTTATTTTAGCTGTAAGTTTATACAAAGCAGTCGTCGAGATATACAGCATGGAAACAGACTCTTTTTGGTTGAACCCGTTCATGCTGACCAGATATCCTACACAAGTCTAGTCCCATTTGCTAGCATTTGGCCTATATCCCTCTAAACCCTTCCTATTCATATAACTGACCTAGATGCCTTTTAAATGTTATAATCTTATCAGCCTCCACCACTTCCTCTGGCAGCTCAATACATACACGCACCGCCCTTTGCGTGAAAAGGTTGCCATTTAGATCTCTTTTCTAATCTTTCTCTTCTCACCTTGAACTTGTGCCCTCTAGTTTTGGACTCCACCACCCTGGGTAAAGGGTTTATTTACCCTATCCATGCCCCTCATGATTTTATAAACCTCCAATAGGTCATCCTTCAGCCTCCACCCCAGCCTACTCAGCCTCTCCCTATAACTCAAACCCTCCAACCCTGGCAACATCTTAGTAAATCTTTTCTGAACCCTTTCAAGTTTCATAGCATCCTTCCTAGAGGAGGGAGATCATGAGCCAAGCTTTCAATTTCTTTTTTTATTTTCCACTCATCTGTTATGAATTATAAATCTGTCTTGGAAAGAACTTGAACACGTTATAAAAATATTATTAAAAGATAAAATACTCAAAATACACAGCATAGTGACACTTATGAAGTTCATCAGGATTCCTAACAGCCAAAATGGTGGATTTGGGGAAAACAAACTTATAATCCTGAAATCCATATAAGAAATTTTCAGTTACCAATGAATAGTAACTCTGATCACCTGTGTTAAAATCAAAATAACACGCTGCTTTGTTGTCAGCTGTTGCTGGAATGTATGTTGAATTTGATATGTGTCTCAGTTTCTTGCTTCTAGAATCCAGTTAGGCATACCACTGTTAAGGAGAATGTTCTTTAGGTCGACAAAGTTATCAACTTGTAGCAAACATCGCAAAGAATCATTGCATCTTCATGTTTACAGAATGTTGATGCTGCAAATCCCCAATGTGTTTTTTGAGGAAAACAAATCTTTATTTCTCCAGAGGTGCTTAACGACACTCGAGGGAAAGGCATGTCTTGCTATTATCCTGAGTCATCCAATCAATATTGCATCAATTTGGTCCTTGGTCTTTGACAAGTTAGTGACCTTGACCAGGTTTCTAACTTGGCATCACTGGCCCACAGCTGTTAAGGAGCAAGCAATTTTCTTGTTCCTGCTGCTGCTTTCTGTTCATTAATTTATGCTGATGACTGGAAGTTACATGGATTTATTCATAAGGATTGATCACTTAATTGAGATGCCAGTGGACTCCATATCCCATATTAATGTCTACACATGTGAATGTTGTAAAGGAAATTCTTCACTGTCAAAAAAAACCTCTTCAAGCCATTTTCTGGCCAAGATGGTAGTTCATAGAGAAATGAGGATTAAAGACTGACGTGCTTCAAATTTGCTTTTGCTTTTAGACTTTACCTATCTCTGGGTAGAAAGTAGTATCTTGAAATTTGATTTTGATGACAAGCTGAAATCTGGGGCCAACTACATTCAGCAATCGCAATGGCATTGATTATCAAGGATGTGGTTAAATTCTGTCTTTTCATTGCTGGGGTCACGTGTAGATTCTGTGATATAAATTCACTTTCTGCCTCTCCTTGATATTTCTTTCTGCTTTGCTGACCTGCCATATTAGGATATTTCTAGATTTGAATGAAGCTATTTCAAAAATGCTACTTGTAATATTTACTAAAAAGTATTTTAAGAACTACAGTAGTTTTCCATGTCTCAAAATTGCAGAATCTAAAATATTGCTTTTACTGCCCTCTGGTGCTCAAAGTGTGAATATGGGGAAAAAAATCATTAACAATGCTAATACTTAAAATCAGATTTTTAAAATCTTTATTCCTGCTAATGTTACTCATGAGCATAAAACCTTTATTTTTGTTTCTTTATTGTTACATAATTAATTGTCTCTGTCTGATTTTGTTTGCCATTCATTCTTTTTCTTGCTCTACATCTCCCTTGGACTTGACTTTCTCATTCATGGTTTACATTAGCCATCTGTCCTTGTTATGTTACCTAGTTTCTATTTAAAGTGATCATAGAAAAATGGGCATAAGCTGGAAAATTTCAAGGTTGTTGATTTTCTTTATCCCTCATATCATTTGTAAGTAAATTAACATTTGAAAGATGTATTGATATTTTAAATGTGAAACTGCATTTTTCTTTCTAGCGGGTTAGTGAATTTGCATTATATGAAATCAGACCAGTATAGGGGAGGCTTTGGCCTAGTGGCATTATCACTGGACTATTAATCCAGAGACCCAGATAATGTTATGGGGACCCGGGTTTGAATCCCACCCTGGCAGATGGTGGAATTTTAATTCAATAAATATCTGGAATTAAGAATCTAATGATGACCATGAATCCATTGTCAACTGTTGAAAAAACCCATCTGGTTCACCAATGTCCTTTGGGGAAGGAAACTGCCACCCTCACCTGGTCTGGCCTACATGTGACTCCGGACCCACAACAATGTGGTTGACTCTTAACTGCCATCTAGGCAAGTAGGGATGGGCAATAAATGCTGCCTAGCCAGCAACGCCCTCATCCCATGAATGAAGAAAGAAAAAGACTGAAAATGAGTACTGAAGTCTTACCCAGAGGAAGAGAAGATGGCCGTTTTGCCTCTCTAGCCTGCGGTATCATTCGCTTAGACCAGTGCTGATCTCTATCTCCATTTAGTTTGCCCACCATTGCTGTATATCTCTTGATAACTTGGATAGCAGTCTATCAATCTCAATCTTAAAAACTTAGGGAAAGAAATTCCAGATTTCCACTTTTTTAAATGTGGAACAAGTGATTCTTGATTTCCCTCATCTGTAATGTTAAGATTTTATAACCAGAAGCTGTAGTCATAACGAAGGAAGTAATCCTAACTTTTTTCCAAGTTTGATCCTGTGGACAAAATATTCATTTTTTCCCTTCATTGCAATAGCTTGCCAGTGGAGTTTTCCAGCACATCAAGGATACTGTATTATCAACAATGAATCGAGAGCTCACGATGGATACCTCTCCAGATACAGTTGGGACCCTCAGCCTAATTATGTTGGCTCAAGCACAGGAGGTATTTTTCCTCAAAGCAGCAGCTGGTAAATATGACTACCTGAATTTTGTACTGTTCATACTGATGTTAAGAAATTTATTTCTTGTTTAATATACATTTTAATTTAATATTTGGAATAATTTCATTTTCATATGCTTATTTCTGAAGCAAATTAAAAAACGAAAGTAAATTTTAGCATTCCCCACTTCAGTGACACACATTATCATGTGCAGAATCATTTTGTTTTCAGCTGTGTAAATTAAAATGGTGCACTTAACAATTTGTCATTTTTTTTCTCCTGTAATGCTCTCCTCCCTGAAGTATAGTTTGGTAGATTTTTATAATTTATAAATGTATAAAAAGCCCCCAAAAGCACCATCCCGAACATATGTTTTAAAGCTGCCATGGAGTCTTGTTTCAGAAACTATTGTTTTGGAGTGTTTACAAAGCAAGAATTTGCAGGGTGCATTTATGGAGATAGTTGCAGAGTATTAAGAATCCCATCGTAGAGTGGTGTTGGGTATCCTAGTGAAGGATTGGCAGCTCGCCAGGTTTCAACACTGAGGTGGTGTCCAGAATTTGGAGTTTGAGAGATTAAAGTAGGATGCATTAAATTCGTGAAGAAGGTGGATGACGGGTATGGATTATAAGCTGGTGAACCACTGAATTTCAGTAAGAAGGCAGTAGGAGTCACCAATGTTAAATTGACAAAAGTGGGCAAAATTAGGCAATTATGAATTTGTCAGGTTTAAAGATTCTGAGAGCTCTGAATTGTAATAGGATTTAAAAGTATTGAGGATCTGCAAAAATTAAACGTGCAGGACAACTGATCTGGAGCTGAGAAGGAACCATGTAATGCTCAAAGTCGAGAATCTGATACTTTATGGACAATAGAGGCAAGAAGGATTCCAGTCGAGAAGCGAGTGGAAATCTGGAGGTGCAAGAAGAATTGACTGTTAGATTTCTGTTTTATTCATGGGCTGTGGGGATGTTGCTGGTTAGCATCTATTAGCAATTGCAAATTGTCCAGAAAGTACTTAAAAGTTAAGCATATTGCTATGGATCTGGAGTCACATGCAGATGAGACTAGGAAAGGACAGTAAATTGCCTTCCCGAAAGGACAGCAGTGAACCCAGATGGGTTATTTCCATAAAACCTATTCAGCACTCCACATTTGAATTAGGACTACCTAAACCGAGGAACAGCTTTGCAGTTTGAATCAGCTTCATGTTGATTGCTCATTTCCCCCAAATGCACTTGCAAGCTTGAGTTCTAAGTTGCCTTCTAAGCTACGTATACATTTGATTTGTAATGTGCTGCTCAGTTGGTGACAACTGTGACTCGACAGAAACATATCGTATATGCCTCCAACTGAATATTGCTTCAAACTTGAAACGAGTTTAAAATAAGCAACTAATAGGATGATGGGAGCTAAATTGTGCTATGGTTTGAATTGGAAAAGAATTTTGTTTGCATTTTCTATTAGTTTTATGCCTGCTAAAATGTCAGTAGTACTCGCAAAGCTCTAAATAATTCTGACCTCTCGTGGAAAGATGAGAATATTAACTGGTTTGAATTTATTGTTGTCTGGCTGGATGAACATTAGTGAGCAGCTTGCCATCTTAGCGTGTCGATGTAATTTTGAACTTAAATGTTCGGATTCTGGAGGAATTTTGATATAAATTCCTTGTAAGTGGATTACATTTATGGGTTATGCGATTTAAGCAGATGTGCACTTTATTTTTTTGGAAGCCTATTTTGATGAAACTTAAAAAAAAAACATAATATTTAGTCTGTAAGCGATGCTGTGACTCCTGTTTAAAAACTCACTAACTACATTGCTTGATTATTTTATTCTTTCAGTGGGCTAATGAAATAGTGGTTGGCGAGGAAACTTAATCTCTAGTGCAAATTGGATCCATTTTACAAAAGAAGTGGGCATTGACAGACTTCTTTCTCATGAGCTGCATAGAAACATGGGCTTTGGGGAGAAAGTCATCAAGATGTAGTGTACAGAAAAAGGCCCTTTCGCCCATCAAGTGTGCACCAGTCAAAGACGACCATCCAATTATTCTCAATTCGTTTACCATCACTTGACTCATAGGGTTGTATGTCTGGCATCACAAACGTGCATCTAAATACTTCTTAGAAGCAGAAACTCTCATGCCATTTATTGCCCTTGCAGTCAAAGAATTCCAGATTCACACCACCCTCCTGAGTGGAAAAAGTCTTTGTTCGTGTCTGCTCAAAACTCCCTGCCCCTAACTTAAATCTATGCTACTGATCACTGATCCCTCCACCGAGGGGAGAAGTTTCTTCCTGTCTATCCTGTTGATGCCCCTCATAATTTTATAGATCTTAATCATGTCAACTGTCAGTCTCCTCTGTTCCAAGGAAAAGAGCCCAAGTCTATCCAATCTGTCTTTGTAATTAAATCTCTCTAGCTCCGGCAACATTCTGGCTTCTTGCAGTTACAAACCTGCTATCATGTGGATTCCATGTGTGCTATCTTACAATCCTCTGGCACACCACCTGTTGCCAGAGAGGCATTGAAAATTATTGCCAGTACTAGCTGATCATTCTGGTGTTCTGATTTAAATTTTAGCCACCTGTTAGGCAAGAGTTCAAAAAAACTTCCTTTTGAGCAAAGTAAATAACATATACGTGCATGATATTAAGTTGTCTGGACTTGAAGGGGCCAACTTACCAGGATTTGGAGACTTTGTGCAATGGTGGTACCTCAAATTCACCAGTCTTGTCTCTTGAGAATGGTGTGTTTTATCTAATTATATTTTTTACTTTGTGAACCATTTGACATATGTGCTGCTACAACTTCTAGTTCTAACTTTTAGTGTTTCACATATCATTACAGAAAAGTCCAGCTGTTCATGGTTGCCCCTTCATGAATTTGTTGATTTTCGGGTTACTTACTGTGTACTTTCCCTCACACTGCAGCTCTGTTTGCTCATCTACAGTTTTCCCAGGAGTAATCATATGCACTGTGTGCCCCTCTCATACTGTTTTTGGATGTTCATTGATTGTATGCATTCAGCCATTTTCACCATGTGTATCACATTCTCCAGGAAAACCTTTTTCATGAATTGTAGTATTTACTGTATATCAGCAATTCTGGGACACTTTAAAGTGTTTTCAGTAGAGCCTATTTAGATTATGTTGGGGTGTATAAAGGATTATGCTTGATCGTGATGTTTGAAGTAATTGACTTATGCTTAAATTATTACTAACAACTGTCTTGCAGATAAAATGAAAGATGCAGTTATAGCTAAGCTTGCCAATCAAGCTGCTGATTACTATGGAGATGCCTTCAAACAGTGCCAGTTTAAGGAAAATTTGCCCAAGGTAAATTCAAACTATATATGCAATCATGACACCTAATTATTAATTAAATGGTGGTTAGAGTTATCAAGGTTTTGTGTGCAGAAATAAAACTGATTTCAAGGGTTTATTTGTTTTTACCCAATTCCGTAATAGTTTGTTACTTAGTTTTATGCAATTTAGCAGTGAATTTAAAATAAAAAACATTTTTAATGTATTTTAAATCTCTTGAATCTTAGTTTTATAATGAAAATTTCTCACTGCATCAAATCTTTTCAAAAAGTATTTTAAATTGATAACATTTGATTTTGCATTTCTGATAATCAAGTATGGTGATGACCACCTCTTTTTAATGGAGCAGGGTGGTGGGAGAGAAAAGATTCTCATTGAGATAGTTAGGTCAGTCCAATACAATGTGGATTATCAGTAACAGTCCCTTGAAAAATTGGGTGGCATGACTGCAGACCATTTAATTGTTCCACTTCAACTGATACAGTTAGAAAGTTAACTTAACACTAATTTTCAATAACTATTTATTTTCTTCAAGGAATAAAGTTTAAACATTTCTACACCAAACTGGCTATTGCTGTATTTTGAGTTGATGTCATAACAGCTATTCTTGTAGATGAAATACAGTGCAAAAGCTACTGTGTCTGTGCATTTCTTTACAATGTAATTATGTAGGTGCCTCTGCTACTTGCCTCCTTTACCTAAACCCACCAAACCAAACCAAACCTGCTTTGAGGCACTATTCTCTTACAGTCCAAATTTATATCTTTCACTTGTTTCTCTGCCATCTCTGCTGAAACCTCCATTGTGCTCATCATGTTTGACAGTTTACTCCTTTGTGCTTTTTTGACTCTGTTTCCAGTAAAAGACTGACCACCCAAATTCCCTTCCCAGCTCCTGTTGATTGAAAGGATTAACCATTCTTTTTCACGTTCTGTCCTCTTTAAAACTTTACTGTTGACTGCCTCTGTGCAAATTGACGTATGTTTAAGCAACTCCTCGATTTTTTAATTTCATACCCTGGTTTTCAGATTCCTTCTTGGCTTCACCAGATTACTGTTATCCTGTGCACTCCTGTTCTACTTCACAATCCATACTTCTGGCATGGTGTCTCTTGCATCTTTGATCTGAATGACTCGGCTATTGTTGGTCATGCCATCAACTGACTGGGCACCCATCTCCTCCTAAAATTTCCTTCCCTAAGCTCTGTGCTCTCTTTCTTAGAAGCTTATTAAAACCTACATCTTTGCCTAAGGTTTTGGCTATCTTCCCCTAGTATTCTTTGCTAAATCATAAAATGGTAGCTCAGCATATAATTTTGTTTCATAACATTCCTGTAAAGTGTCATGGTTTTTGGTTTTAAAACCACTATATAGTTTCAAGTTGTTTTTTAAAATTCATTAGATTACAGGTTAAACATAGAGTGAATATGAATAAAATTGATAATTATTCAGGCAAAGGGTCCTGTATCCTCTGGAGTAAGAAAGAAAGATGATCTTGCTGGAACATGCAAGGTTGAGAGCACTTGACATGGTGGATGCAAAGAGTTTGCTAACCTTGGCTGGAGAGTTTAGAATTCAGGGGAGTCACCTCAGGTACTCAGGTGGCCCTTTAGGAATGATATGAGGAAAAATATCTTCACTCAGAGGATTGTGACTCTTTTGGAATTCACTAAGTGCTCAAACATTAAATTAATCAATTTTTTGATTCGAAGAAGGGAATTTGAAGGCTATGCAGATTGCGAAGGAAACTAGATTTAAGCTTTAAGGTCAGCGAAGGCAAAGTAGGCTACAGGTTCTATGGCCTACTTCTACTCCTAATAAGGTGGTGATATAGTCCCAGCCAGTGTTATTACCGACATGTTTAAGTTGCATTTATATGAAACACGGAAGGCTACAGAAAACACCTAGTTACAAGACATGGACCCTGTAATGACAGTTCCATGGTAATGCTTGCCAATAAGGAAAGCTAATTAATGAAGTGTTAGGAATTGCTGATTTTAAATATCCCATAAAACAAATGTTGAATATTAATATGCGATAGTAAATCTTTTTTATATGGGTTAGTTTTCTGGATTCGTACGTTGATGAACCAGCAAGAGAACAGGTCATCCTAAACTGGGTATTATGTAATCAAAGAGGAGTAATTGGCAGTCTGGCTGTGCAAGGATCCTTGGGGTAGAGTGACCATAATATGATAAATTCTTCACCAGATGGAGAGTGGTATAGTGATTCTGAGACTAAGGTCCTGATGCTATAGATAAAGGAAACTATGATGGTATAAGGCATGTGCTGATTAGGATAAATAGATGAATATTACTTAAAGGAATAACAGTGGATAGGCAATGGCAAACATTTAAAGAGCCCGTGGAGGAACTGCAACAATTGTTCTCATTCCGGTCTGGCACAAAAGGTGGCACAATGAAGGCTAACAAGGGACTTGAGGATAATATAAGATCCAAGGAAGAGCATATAAATTGGCCACATAAAACAACAGCCCTGAGGACTAGGAGCAGTTTAGACTTCAGCAAAAGAGGACAGAAGGATTGATTTTTAAGAGTTTGAGAATAAGACTGTGGGGAACGTATGAACTGTAAAACCTTCTGTAGGTATGTGAAGAGAAAAGTATTAGTGAAGATACTAGAGATAGTAGGAACTGCAGATGCTGGAGAATCCGAGACAACAAAGTGCAGGGCTGGATGAACACAGCAGGCCAAGCAGCATCATAGGAGCAGAGAGGCTGACGTTTCGGGCCTAGACCCTTCATCAGAAAATCAGAAACAGCAGAAATTATGATGGGGAACAGAGATGGCAGACCAATTCAATACATGCATTGGTTCTATCTCCACAAAGGAAGACATGCACAACATCCCAAAAATGTCATGGATGCGGAGTTTAGTGAGAGGGAGGAATTGAAGGAAATGGTGTTGAGGAAGTTGACGGGATTCAAAGGTGATAAATCCTCATGGTCTGATAATCTATATCCCTGAATACTCAAGGAAGCTGATTGCTGATTTTAAATAGCCCATAAAACAAATGTCAAAACAAGTTGATTATTAATATGCGATAGTAAATTTTTTTTATATGGGTTAGTTTCCTAGAAATAGTGGATGTGTTGATGGTTGTCTTTCATGGTTTTATAATCTTTCAAACAGTTCCCGTGGATTGGAGAGTAGCTAATGTAACCCCAATAATTCAAAAAAAGGTTGAGAGAAGACAGTGAATTATAGACTAGTTGGTCTGACATTGGTAGAGGAAAATGCTAAGAGTCCATTTTCAAACATTTGAAAGCAGAGCACTTGGGAAAAACAATGACAGACTTGGACAGAATCATCATAGATTAATGGAAGGGAAATCATGCTTGACAAATCTACTGGAATTTTTTTTAGAGGATGTAACTAGTAGAGTTGATAAGCATAGCCAGTGTTTGTGGTTTACTTGGACTTTCAGCTGACTTTGATTAGGTCCCACGTAAGAGATCAGCACATAAATTTAAGCGTATGGAATTTGGGTAGTGTACTGAAATGAATTGAGAACTGGTTGGAAAATAGGAAACAGTAGGAAGAAATGGGTCTTTTGCCTGAGTTGCAGGAAGTAATTAGCAGGATACTGCAGGGATTAGTGCTTGGACTCAAGCTATTCACATTAATAATTTAGATGCGGGACTGAATGTAATATCTCCCAAGTTTGTAGATGACACTGCTGGATGGGAAGATTAACTGAGGCAGAGGCAGCAATGGTTCAGTGTTGTTTGGAAAAGATAAGTGAACGGGCAAATACATGATAGATAGAGTATAATGTGGTGATCCACTTTAATAGCAGGAAGACAATAGATGCAACGAGACCTGGGAGTCCTTGTATGCTTGTTGCTGAAAGTAAGCATGCAGGTACACCAGGTGTTTTTAGCCTTCATACAATAAAAATGAGTGTAGGAGTATTAATGTCTTGCTGCAATTGTACAGGATCTTGGTGAGACAGCATCTGGAATATTGTGTATAGTTTTGGCCTCCTTACCTGAGGAAGGATGTTCTGGCTATGAAGGGAGTGGATCAAAGCGTATGGGAGAAAGTGAGAACTAGGTTTTTCGGTTTGGGTGACCAGCCATGATCGTGTTCGATGGTGGAGCAGGCTCGAAGAACCAAATAGCGTACTCCCGCTTCTGTTATCTAGGTTTTTATATTTCTGTCTTAGGAATGCTTTATTTATCCTTTGTTCAACCGCATAAATGTGTTTGGAAGTGACTTGAAAAAATATGAAACTACAGTTTGGGTTTTCTCAATAGTTCTAAATGCAAATTTAGTAATTTAATAAACATTTTATAAAAAGATTAATGTTAGTTGAACATGATCAGCATGTTTCAACATTGTATCTTAAGCATCAAATTTATATTTACCTAGAAGAATTTTTAATCATGAGCTCCATAAAATGGATATTGCAGAATTGTATTTTATGTATTTTCATCTAACTAATTCATTGAAAAGTGATTTCCTTTTAATTACTTCAATAATGACTTTTGCTAAGTCTTTAATTGAAGTTTTATGACCTGAAATGAATGAAACCAAGTAGGTTTTTCGCTTATTTAATGTGTGCAACTACATGCTATTGTGTTCTGCCATGTTCATGAGATTTCAAATAAAGTATGAACTGTTGGATATTTCACATCTCTGCCACCTTTTTGGTCTTTTAACTTTCTCATCATTACTATTTATCTTACAGACTAACCAACTCCCTGACCAGACTCATCTTTATGATCCCTTGAATGAGGTGTTCGCTCTGTCCTGTCCCTACCTTTCTCTCTAATGTAGTGTGGACACTGCAGCCTATTGTAGTATCTACAAAACAATTCCACATGTTCACAGTTATTACAGAATGCTGTCTGGGCTAGATTTCACTCTTTTCTGAACTTCAGTCCATCAACAGAAAATTCTTACTGTGCTTGAGCAATTTACTTGCAATTTTCAATAACGTTAAAAGCTGTAACATTAAATGGAAATTCATAGCTCTGAAAATAGGCAATTAAATATTTAATGCATTTTTGAGCACTAATTCAAAACAAATTCACAGGCAGGGACTGATTGTTGTTCCTAGTTAGAATATTGTCTCATTGCAAGAACTGGATTTGAATTAACTGAATACTGCTGAAGAGACACTTTTATCTTCCAGCAATTAAAGCCCTTTCTTATTTGTTTTGACAGTCAGTTACGGTATAAAATGATACAGATTTCTATTTCAGTAAAAGAAAGCCAGAGTATGCAATTACCATGTTCACATTGGTTAGGTCAGAAAGTGTTCATCTGAAGCAGGAGTTCGTCTTGTCAAGATGACGACAGAGTAGATTTCTCCACGTGGTATATCTGAACGTGATTACTAGCTCTAAATGTTGGTGGAGCAACTCTGGGGTCTGAAGAACCAGCACTATTTAATTGCTGTTGAATAATTGGCTGATAAAATGAATTTCAGAGCCTCTTGTTTGAAGGGATCGTACGTTAATCCTGTTTAAATAGATTGGCTGTCTCTAGTTTTAACAATCCTGTGTCAAATGTGTTTGATAACATTGAACCCAGTTTGTATTAGGCATAGGCCTATGCCACAGAACACCGCCTAATTTGGCAGAGACAGAAAAGAAGTTTAAAACCACAATCCAATCAACTATGATGTTATCGAATGCCAGACCATACTCCAGGAATCAAACGGTCTGCTTTTCCTGATTCTTAAGTTGATGTCAACTTTAGTATTTTTGAGGTATTCTACGGGTGATAGTTCAATTGTGATATTACAATATACCCATTACGTACAATATTGAACTGGGGTGAAACAGGGTGGCACGGTGGCTCAGTGGTTAGCACTGCTACCTCACAGCACCAGGGACCCGGGCTCAATTCCAGCCTGTTTGTTTGTGTAGAGTTTGCACGTTCTTCCCATTGTCTGTGTGGGTTTCTGCCGGGTGCTCCAAAAATGTGCAAGCTGGATGGATTGGCCATGGTAAATTGTCCATTGTGTTCAGGGATGTGATGGTAAGGTGCATTAGCTATGGGAAATGCAAGAATGGGGTAGGGGCATGGGTCTGGGTGGGATGTTCTTCAGAAGGTTTATGTGGATTTGTTGGTCCGAATGGCCTGTTTCCGCACTGTAGGGATTATATGGATTCTAACTGCTAGATCTATCTTGAACACATTTATTTCATTGCTTATTTATTAAATTTGCCTGCTCAAGTGAGTGGTATTGTAGTTCAGAAAAAATGGTGAATTGGTAATCTGACCAGATTTTTATTGCCCAAATGATTGGCAGCAAAAAACTGTAACCTTAACTGAGGAACTTGGTTGACTTGGAAAAGTTTCCACTACTAGTGGCATGTACTGGCTTGGATTTGGTACTCCGTATTTAGACGAGGGTGAATTGTGGTGCTTGTAAGTTGCATGCAAGCAAATTGTTAAAATTAAGTTCTGAAAGCAAATGGGTCAGTTATAAAACTGAATATAAAATGTTCAAAGTATTGCCGAAATTTTCTCAGGCAGATGAGTCTCAACATCCAATTCTGTCACATGGAGACCTTAACTCAGTTCCTGCATTTGTTTCCCTATTTGAATCCCTTTTTATGTCTTTCCTATTCTCAGTTGAGAAAAGGATAATTTACTTCTGGTTCACATCCTATTACATGATTGTATTGATTTTTCACAACAGGTATTTGCCTAGAGTCTAATAAATGATTGGACAAGTTGGCTTGAGCGTTATGTAATTTTAAAAATGTCATTACTTTTAATAATTAGAGATTGAGCTTTTATTTTTGGTAAGTGACTCATTTGTTGCCAGAATATTAATAAGTGTGCTTTTAGCAAATACTTTATTTTTAAAGGATACAGTTGTTTTCTTTCTTCAAAATTCAAGCCATTCATAGTCACTTGATCGCCCAACTTACACTTCAAATGATTTAATCTATCTGACTTTCTAAAAACCATTAATGTGATTCTAATTTCCTCTCTTTTCTCCTTCTCTTTCCTTCTTCCCTTGTTGTCTGTGGTTGTTTGTGGTTGGACTTCTCCCCTGGTCAGTATTTTTATTTCCAGGAGGTGCTACCTGTTCTTGCTGCAAAACATTGCATGATGCAGGCCAATGCAGAGTATCATCAATCCGTTCTTGCTAAACAACAGAAGAAGTTTGGTGAGGAGATTTCCAGATTACAGGTAAGTCTTCTATATACACCTTAAATGCATTGTACAGTATTTTTTCCCTTTTCTTTTTTAAAAAAAAAAGTAACTTTCAATGTCCCCACAAGGCACCATTATAAGAGTGAGGGATTATATATACACACACACCATTATCCCATAAACTCACATGTGAAATGGGTTTAGTCAATCAGGTGAGCTGGAACCAATATTTGCAAAGATTTTGACCAAGAACTTTTTAAAAAAGATCCCCAATAACTGCCATCTCACACAAGTGTTGTTCTGTTTGCAGTTAACTGCCCTCTGCAGTGCACAAACTCCTGTAACCCTATTAAGAAATGTTTACCATTTGAGTTTTGGTGTTTCTCTCCAATTAAAGGATACATTTCCAAGTTTGAGTATTTTTTTTTCATGCCTTTGCAATTAAACAAAACTCCCTATCTTTGTAAATGATAACCCCGTTAACCATGCCATCTCATATGACCTTTCTGTATCCTTCATCTTCAACACAGAAAAAGCCATTTATGATTTGTAAGAATTTTTGCTCACTTCTTTCTGCATCTGACATAGGGTTGGAGGCAGGGGACCTGTCTCACCATTCACTTACACCAATACTTTTTAATATGATCCAGTCTTTGACCCATTCCTCTGATTATTTTTGTACTGTTCAGTCTGCTCAGTGACATCCTGCCTTTGCCATTGTGTTCAACAAAGTACTTTCTCTCTCTGACTGTGCTGATGCTATATGATATGGCCTTATGTTAGTTTGAGTCCAAGGGTTGAAGACCTTAATGTCACCCACATGTTTGTTAGAGTTCATTTAACAAATTAAAGCCAACTGCGATCCAAATGTGAGATAGTAGGAAGTGCAGATGCTGGAGAATCCGAGACAACAAGGTGCAGAGCTGGATGAATACAGCAGGCCAAGCAGCATCAGAGGAGCAGAAAGGCTGACGTTTCGGGCCTAGACCCTTCATCAAATGTAACCACAGGGATCTTTTACCCATTGCCAACTATCCTTTCATGCCCTTCAACAAATGCAAAGAACTCATGGCCTTTGTTGTCAATGAGATCATCTATTCATTGCCTCACCTTCCCCTGTCCATACCCATAACGCATGCCAACATTCCCATAATCTTTTCTTGAATATTTCTTAGTTTATCGCCTATCTTCTCCAGTGCCTTGTTTTAACTTGGCAATGCATTTCACTTCTAAATGTTTTCCTTATTTATCAGGAGAGGAGTGACTTTTTTTTTCCAGATTCCACAAGGAAATCTTGAGATGTATCTTGCATCCCTGTTGTAATATTTGGGTTGCACTTTACTCTACAAGGGCAATGCAGATATTTTGTGCATTAAGTTGTGTCTGCTATTTGACATTTTTGAAATCCTCATTAATTATTCTGCTGGAAATTTTTGGGGGGCCCCATTATACACTTCTTTAGTCAACTACTCATCTTTGCTTCCTTTCAGCTGATTACGTATTCCTAGTTACATAGTCCTTTTAATATCAGGCACATTTATTTTGTGAATAGGTATTCTATGTGGCATTTTATCATATGCCTTTTAAAATCGAAATTTCCACCTACTGCAAAATCATCAATCCTCTCTATTGCTTTATCAAATTAATTTTTAAAATTCATCAATCACAAATTGCCTTTAACAAGTTTGTGCTGGCTTTTCCTTATTAATCGGTGTTCTCGAAGTGAAAATTCTTCTATGGACAGTAATCTCTGGTAGTTTCCAATGATGGCAATATGCTGATTGGCGTCTGGTTACCAGGTTTACCCTTTTTGCTTTCTATAATGTAACATTGCCCATTTTCAGACCTCAGTCATAATTGTAATATCCAAGGAAGATTAAATATTGTGGCCAGAGTTTCTGCCGTCTCAGTCTTGCTTCCCTCCCCAACCTAGAATGCCTGTCATTTTGAAGCATGAGTGCACTGTCAGAAGAACAGTGGGGTTTGTAAAAAAAACTTGTACCATGAAGCCTGAATGAGGTCCAGGTCACTTTAACCTATGTCTCATCTGAAATCTGGAAGCACATTTTCCACTGTATCTGACCAGACTAACCATCTGGTGAATAGAAGGAGATTGCTATGGCAATGCAAAGTACAGTTTTCTAGAGTTAAGTGGGGTTCTATGAGAAAGCAGAATTGGAAAACGGTCATGAACTATGTGGATTGGCAATGCTAAATTGCCCCCTAGTATCCAGGGATGTGCAGGTTAGGTGGATTAGCTATTGTAAATGAAGGGTTGTGGTGATGGGTCTAGATGGGATACTCTTCAGAGAGTCAGTGCAGACTGAATGGCCTCTTTCCACACTAAGGATTCAGTGATTCTATGATCATCGTGTGTTATTGCACCATTAAACAAATTCAAATTTGTAAAAAGGAAATAACGGGGGTGGCACTATGGTGAGCATTGCTGCCTGGCAGCATCATGGATCTGGGTTTGATTCCAGCATTGGGTGACTGTCTGTGTGGAGTTGACATGTTATCCCTGTGTCTGTGTTGGTTTCCACCAGGTGCTGTGGTTTCTTGCCACACTCCAACGATAGATGGAAATTAGATGGATTGGCCATGGTAGTTGTAGGGTTGTGGAAATTGGGTGGGGGGTGTGTCTGGGTGGGGCGTCCTTCATAGCGTCGGTGCAGATTCACTGGGCTGAATGGTCTATATGTGCATTGTAGGGACTATGAAATAAAAAGGAGTTCTAAAGAAACTCAGCAGGTCTAGTAACATCTATGGAAAGAGAAGCAGTATTTCAAGTCAGGTACAACTGTTCTTCAAATACTTTTTTAAAATTTTAGGACATGATTGAATTGTGTGCTGAGATGGATGGATGTTGTAATCTTTGAGCAAGTTCAAAATGTGGTTCAGAAGGGATAATTGGCTTCATAAGTATGGGCAAGGAAATGCCAAACATTCATTAAATCATTGGTCAGGCCTTAGGTGGAGTACTGTTGAAAATTTTGGGATTTGGGAATGATGTTAAGGCTTCAGCGGAAGTGCTGAAGAAATACCAGGATGATATGGAAGAAGAAATTTAGTTATGTGGAGAGATTAAAGAAACTGAGTATTGCTGATAAAGGGAGACTTTGTCTCAGCTTTTTGCTTTATAACTCCTTTAAAACCGTTCACAAGTGAACAATGCTTTAAGGTACGCAAGAAGAATGTGCCCATTGGTTAGCAACTTGATTTTGGTTGAGACACTGCCATGGATAATGTACCAGTTAGCTGAAGGGATTTGCCAATGATATCAGTTAAAGGAGAATAGACCAGATGGATGTATGGCTGGAGGAATAGTGTAGGAAAGAGCGATTTCGATTCTTTAGACTTTGGCACTAATTCTGGGAAGGTGCAGGGTGAGGTAGGAGATGTGATTGAACGGAATGTTAAAAATGCACGCAACAAGCGTGTTTCAATAATCATGAGTGATTTTAACCAATGCATAGACTGGGCAAATCGCATTAGCAATAGTACTGTGGCAGATGAATTCCTGGTGTGTGCACAAGATGGATTTTTAAGACTAGTACTTTGAGGAGCATAGATTTGGTTTGTGGAATGAAAAATGTTAATTAATACTGTAGTTGCGAGAGGTCCTTTAGGAAAAAGTGATCATGACATGTTAGTATTCATTGGGTTAGAAAGTGAAATAATCTAATCCAAAGCTAGAGATCTAAATCTGTCCAAAGGAAATGATAAAGGAATGAGGGATCAGTTGCTTATGATAAACTTGGTAACCAATATTAAATTGTATGATAGTGGATAGGCAAAGGTAAATATTTAAGGAACTAAAGACTGCATTGCAGCAGTTACACATGCCTTTTGGGTTAAAGAACACAACAGGAATAATAGTCCGACCATGGTGAGCAAAATAAATTAAGGATAGTATTAGATCCAAAAAGGAATTGTATAAAGTTGTGAGAAAATGCATAGTACTCCACCGGAGGCCTGACCAATGATTTAATGAATGTTTGGCAATTAATTCCTTGCCCATATTTATGAAGCCAGTTCGCCCTTCCGAACCACATTTTGAACTTGCTCAAAAATTACAAAGTTAGGGCTATGAGCAGTTTAGAATTCAACAAGAGAAGACATTAGTGCATGAGAGTAAACCCACAAGGAAAATATAAACTGACAGTAAGGAACTATGTAAAAAAGGAAAAGATTAACCAAGCCAAATGGGGAACCAGGAAACGGAACAGAAGAAGGTAGCAGAAACTTCCCTAGGGAAGGAAGGGCCTTTTGGGAAGGAACTTAGTATTTGGTTTAAACAAAAATGGGTTCATGAAATAAAAAGGTTTGAAAATTGATAATCCCTAGGACCTGATGGTCTACACCCCAGAGTAGTAAATGAGGTGGCCATGAAAACTGTGGTTGCATTATCATCTTGCGAATTTGTGTTGATTCTGGAAGGGGACAAATGTAACTGTACCATTTTAAAAAGCAAGGGGAGAAAACCAGGAATTATAGACTGGTTAGTGTAACATCTTTGCTAAATCATAAAGAATGTGATAACGGGACACTTTGTGTGTAATATGATTGGTATTACCTCAGTCATGGATTTATTAAAGGGAAATCATATTTAATAAATTGTAAAGTTGACGTTTCGGGTTGGGACCCTCCTTAAGAGGAAGGGTCCCGACCTGAAACATCAACTTTCCTGCTCATCTGATGCTGCCTGGCCTGCTGTGTTTCACCAGTTCCACACCGTATTGTCTCTGACTCCAGCATCTGCTGTTCTTGCTATCTCTAACAAATCATAAAGACCATTTTTTTGTATCTTTGTTGCCTTCCAAATCCATCTTTTCTTCAACCCCACACTTGAACTATCCAATCAAAGTACTACACCATCATAGTATTGAAGTTGACTTGGTCAAAGTCATAAATTATCTATTTCTGTTTTGCATTCCCCCTCATTTCCTCAAACACTTTCCAATACTCAACATGATTGATGACTCCAATTCAAAATTTGCATCATTGTTGTAAACATAGATGCTCGTACACTCAGGTTAATATCTTGGGTAACAATCCTGTTTATTGGGTGCCCAGTATATACTTTGGGTTTAATGTGAACAAATAGCAAAAGATAATGAAATGACTTTTCAGTGGTGTGTAATTAACCTTTTATAATACACCAATTCTAAAACTAGATTTGATGACACTGAACAATAACTTGTCAGATTGCTGTAGTTTCATTTCTTACCTTTTTCTTTCTTTGAATCAAAGGTATAAACTGTAGCCATAGTCTATAAGCATAATTTAAAAATAAAAACTTAAAGTTTTAGCTACTTGAAAAAAGTGAACTCTTAGTTTTCTATTTCTATAATTCAGCACGCATCTGACTTAGTGAAGACAGTTGGCTCTCGGTATGATGAGTATATCAATGTGAAGGACCTATCGGACAAAATTGCTCGTGCCTTAACTGCAGCAAAAAAGGATAATGATTTCATTTACCATGACCGTGTTCCAGATGTTAAAGACTTGGAACCTGTAGGAAAAGCCACATTGGTGAAGCCTACTCCTGTCAGTGTCCCCATGAGTCAGAAATTCACTGGTAAGTTCACAGTGAGAGAATCTGTCAAAAGTGTGCACCTGAAACCAATCTTATTTTGTTTCCTATTTGGTAACTGCAGCATTAGTGATGTTTTGAGAGGCCTTGATAGAGTAGATAAGGGGAAACTATAAGGGGCAAGTGAAAAAAAAACCCTGTGCCAGCCTGTTGGAGACACTGCTAGACTCCTACTCTAAAGGTGCATATTCAAAAAGAATAGGAAGCTCGGTAAAGGTGGAGGAATAGCACTTAATCAAGGATACCATTTGTGTAATTCTTACAGATGACCTTGGTTCAGGTGATTAGGATGTAGAATCGGTTTGGGTGGGGATGAAGAATTGAAAGAAATAATTCACCAGCAGGATTGGTGTTCAAGCCCCCTAACAATGATTACAAAGCAGGACAACATATACAAGAAGCAAAGTGATAAAGAAATGGCAATAAGCATGGGTGACTTCAATAAACTGGAAAAATAAGATTGGCATGAGTAGCCTAGATGAAGAGTTTATAGGCTGTTTGTTTGAGTTTATTAGAACAGCACATTTTGGAACTGACCACAATATAGGTTATGTTAGACTTTGGTATTATGTAATGTGACAGGATTAATTAATAGCCTTAGAAAGCAGGGACCACATATGATTGAATTTCACATCCACTTTTGAAAGCGAGAAGACTGGGTCGAAGTCAAGTATTTTCTACTTTAGTAAATAGAACTAGGTGGGCAGGACGGCGGAGCTAGATGAAGTAAACTGGCATATGAGGCTAAGGGACAGATTGATAGGATCAGTGACGTTTATTTCAAAGGGATATTTCAGAATAACATTCCTATTATAAAGATAAATTATAATAGAAGGACTATCTATCATCCATGGTTACGTAAAGAGATTGTTCACTTTGGCAGGAGGGTAAAATAGCAGAAGTGGTCTAGTGCACGAGTCCAAAATGTTAAAATGTTCTTATAGCCCATAATCAAGAAGGCTAATGGGAAGCTATCCTTTATTACAAGACGATTGAACATGAAAGCAAAAATGTTAGTTTTCAGTTATACATGGCATTGGTGAGACTACATCCCGAATACTGTGCAGTTTTTGTCTCCTTATTTAAGGAACGTTGTAAATGCTTTGGAGGTGGTTTCAGAGGATGTTTATTAGATTGCCTATGAGGATAGGTTGGACAACTTTTTCCATTTGAGTGTAGAATAGAGGGTGACTTGAAGAAAGTGTATGAGTTTGAGAGGCCTTGACAAGTGGATGTGGAAAGATATTTTTTGCTTGTAGAACCCAGAGTTAGGGAGTTACTGTTTTAAATAAAGTAGGATCACTACATGTATGTACAATAGTGAAATTGGTTCCAAGTTTTTAAATGATGTTCACTTGACCATTGACTGCAATTTTAGTAATTAACACATTTTTGTTCATCAAAATAATGTGCTATTTTGATAGCGGGGTAATCACTGCCATATTTCTCAATTCACATGGTTACTTTGGCTAAGTTCCTAAGAATTTCTTTTATACTGACTTATATATTTAGATCTCTTTGTGAAGATGGTTCCTTTAGCAGTGCAGCAAGCCCTGAGTGCATATAATCAGCGAAGGGCCGACTTAGTGAACCGACTAATAGCGCAGATGAGAGAATCCAGCAATCTAGCCAATGGGTAAGAGACTATGATTAATATTGATCGCATTCTTTACCTATACTTGTCACTATTTACTGATAATTTCGGAGTTTGCTTTGTTAATCAGAGGAAAGAGCTCAAGCTGTTCTTTATCAAGTCCTGTATGATGGCATTGTTAATTCGGAATACACTGTGCTTGTTTCCCTTTAAGCAAATTCAACAATATTGTACTTAAATAAAAATCTCTATTTCTGCTTAGATAATTGTTTGGATTTACAGAGCTTGAGTATTGCTGAGAAGGCACATTTGGTCAAAGCTTTTCACCGTGCACTCTTCAGGATAATTTGTAAGATCTGGTGGGCACCGATGAATAGAACCGAAGGGTCTATTTCCATGCTGAGAGTTGAGGGAAAATGAGACTTGCACGGAGGTGCGTCCTGATTGGTTGCTGTGTGTGGATTCCGATTGTTTTGTTGCCATGATAAAACACCAGCTTATGAAGTCTGAGCTTTGTTTGGTTGACCAAATCTGGTTGTCCCGAGAATGGAATAATTCTGAATGTCTGAGGAATGATGCTGACAACCAACATTGGATTAGTTGCAATATGGCAAACTTGAATGTACTGGAAAGTTATGCGCACGCAATGTGACTGATTCAATTTAACAAAATAGGTCACAGCCATTCTCAGTACAGTTCATTTCTAAGGGCAATATCTTGACTGATTAGAGCCACTCTGCCTGCTGTAAAATTTAAACAAAGCTGGCAGTCAGCTGTGACTCTGAATTCTGTTCTGTTACCCTGATGTGTTTATGTAAGGTATGATTTATCTGGTTTACATGCAAACAATACTTTTCACTGTATCTCAGTAGATGTGATAATAAATCCAATCAGTCATCATTTAACTAGTGCGTTCTCCGTGGCAATGCCCTCTGCCAATCTGGGTGCATTTACCAACGGATTTGCAGTCTCTTCTCATATAGTATAAATGTTGCTTTCCCTTGACTCTGCTTTTTTTGTGAGTTGTCCTGATAAGTGCAAAACAAAAAAGCTTTGACAAAATGTATCTTTTTCAGCAATATGCAATTTATGCTTATCATTCCAAGTTGATATTGCTTTTATGTGCATACTTTTTGATTAGATGAACAGCTTCAATTTAACTCTCAAAGCAGTGATTGCGCTGTAATTTTCTATACTAGGGATTAATACAGGTTAGAAACTTTTTCCTGTTTTCTTAGATGAGTTCATGTCAAAATCTTCCATTTGTAACGTTTTGCTGATAACAATGGAACTTTGAGAATTTTTAACACAGTAGCATTTCCTTTATCGACTTCAAATCAATTGAAATGTATTAATACCAGTTGGTCAGCTTTCTCTGACCCTTTTATGCATATTTTGTCAAGAAGTGTCTTTTCGGAAAGCAAGATGAGACAATCTCAACTGTTCTGAGGAAGGGTCACTGGACCCGAAATGTTAACTGTTTTTTCCTTCACAGATGCTGCCAGACCTGAGCTTTTCCAGCAACTTTGTTTTTGTTCCTGATTTACAGCAACTGTAGTTCTTTTGGTTTTTAAATCTCTACTGTATTCTGGTTAGAATTTGGGGGAGCCTCGTTGCAGAACATAAGTAAAAAATATTTGTGCCTGAGTCAGTAATGATATTTGTTTATTTGTAAAACTTAGTTGTATAGTGCAGGAAGGCCCCAGGCTTGATTTTATGTTGCTTTCAACTAGTCTTCAAGGCAAAAATGGCCTCCTGGTTTCTGAGTAGGGATGGGAAACCCAGTCGTGGCTCCTGTTCTTGAGCTATTTTGTGGTTTGTGCTGGCAAGTATGAATATGTATACATCAGGCCCAGCTGGATGTCGTCTGTCCGATAGATAACTTTTTGTTTATACAAAAAGATTGATTGCACTGGATTAGTAATACCAGACAACTGCTGTTCATGGAGCTACCTTGTAATGAGGTGCTGTATTAAGAGTGGCGGAGAAGAAAAATCCGTTTCCATTCTACTTATGAAGACTCTCACTGGGCAAATATGGGGAAACCTCAGTCAGCAAGAATGAAAAGATTGGATTAATCTCGGGTTTGTTTCTGTACCAGGGAGGAGTTGATTAATTAGCAGTAAATAATTGTAAGGTGTGTGTATAGCATCATAGAGCATGGAAACAAACCCTTTTGGTTCAATCAGTTCATGCTGACCATAATCCCAACTAAACTAGTGTCACCTGTCTGCACTTGGCCCAGATCCCTCCCAACATTTCTTAGTCATGTACTTACCTAAATATCTTTTAAATGTAACTATACCCACATCCACCACTTCCTCTGGAAGCGAGAGTCTTAAGTAGAATGGAAACTGATTTTTCTTCTCCACCACTCTTAATACAGCACGTTATTACAGGGTAGCTCCATGAACAGCAGTTGTCTGGTATTATTAATCCATTGCAAGCAATCTTTATCTATAAACAAAAACAGTTATTTATCAAAATTCAAATATCAGAATATTTACCAAAATTCACTGGACTCTGGGGTGGTTCCCGCAGATTGGAAAACAGCCAACGTGACGCCACTGTTTAAAAAAGGAAGTCGACAAAAAGCAGGTAACTGTACGCCAGTTGGCTTAACTTCGGTAGTGGGGAAAATGCTTGAATCTATCATTAAGGAAGAAATAGCAAGACATCTAGATATAAATTGTCCCATTGGGAACACCCAGCATGGGTTCATGAAGGGTAGGTCATGTTTAACTAATTTGGTGGAATTCTTTGAGGACATTACTTGCATGGTGGACGATGGGGAACCTGTGGATGTGGTGTATCTGGATTTCCAGAAGGCATTTGACAAGGTGCCACACCAAAGGCTGCTACATAAGATAAAGTTGCACGGTATTACAGGTAATGTATTGGCATGGATAGAGGATTGTTTGACCAGTAGAAAGCAAAGAGTGGGGGGAAATAGGTGTTTTTCTGGTTGGCGGTCAGTGGCTAGTGGTGTGCCTCGGGGATCAGTGTTGGGACCGCAATTGTTTGCAAATTACATAGATGATTTGGAGTTGGGGACTAAGTGTAGTGTGTCAAAATTTGCAGATGACGTTAAGGTGAGTGGTAGAGCAAAGTGTGCAGAAGACACTGAAAGTCTGCAGAGGGATATAGATAGTCTAAGTGAGTGGGCAAAGGTCTGGCAGATGGAGTACAATGTTGATAAGTGTGAGGTCATCCATTTTGGTAGGAATAACAGGAAAATGGACTATGTTTTAAATGGTAAAAAAAATTGCAGCACGCTGCTGTGCAGAGGGACTTGGGTATCCTTGTGCATGAATCGTTGAAAGAAGGATTGCAGGTGCAGCAGGTAATTAAAAAGGCTAATGGAATTTTGTCTGTCATTGCTCGAGGGATGGAGTTTAAAAACAGGGAGACTATGCTGCAGCTGTATAGGGTCCTGGTGAGGCCACACCTGGAGTAGTGTGTGCAGTTTTGGTCTCCTTACTTGAGAAGGGATATACTAGCACTGGAGGAGGTGCAGAGGAGATTCACCCGGTTGATTCCAGAGTTGAGAGGGTTGGATCATGAGGAGAGACTGAGTAGGCTGGGATTATACTCATTGGAATTCAGAAGAATGAGGGGAGATCTTATAGAAACATATAAGATTATGAAGGGAATAGATAAAGTGGAGGCAGGGAGGTTGTTTCCGTGAGCAGGTGAAACTAGGACTAGAGGGCATCGCCTCAAAATAAAGGGAAGCAGATGTAGGACTGAGGTCAGGAGAAACTTCTTCAGCCAAAGGGTTGTGAATCTGTGGAATTCCCTGCCCAGTGAAGTGGTTGAAGCTACCTCACTGAATGTTTTTAAGGCAAGGCTAGATTAAATTTTTGAACGGTATAGGAATTAAGGGTTATGGTGAGTGGGCGGGTAAGTGGAGCTGAGTCTCAAAAAGATCAGCCATGATCTTATTAAATGGCGGGGCAGGCTTGAGGGGCCAGATGGCCTACTCCTGCTCCTAGTTCTTATGTTCTTATCTGACAGAGGACATCCAGCTGGGCCTAATGTATACATTCTCATTCCACACATGAACCACTGTGTGTTTTTAAAAAAACAAAATTGCCCCTCATGCCTGTCTTAAAATCTTTCCCCCCTCACCTTTAAAAATGCCCCCAGTCTTGAAATCCCCAATCTAGGGAAAAGATGCGTGCCATTCACCTTCTCTATACCCCTTATGATTTTATAAACCTCATACATTCTAGTGAAAGAAAGTCCCAGCCTGTCCTGTCTCTCCTTATAAACCAAACCCTTCGTTCCCAGCAATGTCCTGATTAAATCTTTTCTGAAACTTCTCTGTAGCTTAATAATATCCTTCCTATAACAGGGTGACCCGAACTGGACACAGTACTCCAGAAGAGGCCTCGTGAACGTCCAGTACTATGTCAACATAACATCCCAAGTTCTAAACAATGAAGTCAAGCGTGTTAAACACCTTCCTGACGCCGACGCCGCCACACCCCCCCCCCCCAGTGTACATGTGATGCAAACTTCAAAGAATTAAGCACCTGAATCCCTAGATTTCTGTATTTTACAACACTAATCAAGGACTACTTTAATTGTATAAGTCCTGCCCTTGTACCAAAATGTAATACCTTGCATTCATCCAAATTAAACTCCATTTGTCACTCTTCAGCCCATTGACCAAATTGACCAAGATCTCTTTTTATAATCTTAGATAACTTTCTTCACTGTCCACTATTCGATCAATTTTGGTGTCATCCATAAACTTTTGACCCATGCCTTCTATATACTTATTGAAATCATTTATATAAATCACAAGCAAGTGAACCCATGATTGATCCCTGTGGAACACCGTTAAGCCGATTTTTGCATCCAGTTGGCAAGTTTCCCCTGAATCCTATGTGATCTAAACTTACTAGTTAGACTACCATGTGAACCTTGTCAAAAGCTTTACTAAAGACCAAGCAAACAATGTCTACTGCTCTGCCCTCATCAATCATCTTGGCTACTTCCGAAAAAAAGTCAAATCAAGTTTGTGAGGCATGATTTCCC